CTACCGCACTTTTACATACGCACTTGTAACATTGAAAATTTTTGTTCCCATAAGATTCAGGGCTTATTAACTTCTATTTTTCATACAAAGAAAAAATGCAACTTTTCATCTTAATCATCCTTTACTCTTACCCACTTTTCACATCTATATATTAATATTACTAAGCCTTTGAAAAAATAGTTCAAAATTTTGTTAGCAAAATGGTCAAATTTGCTTCTTTCACTTCATACTCTGAAAATTTTCTTCCGGGTAGGTCTTCCAGTGTTCAGTTTTGATAAATGGTACATGACGCTGGGTGCCCAATCTAGACCGTAGGGTGAATGGTCTGACACTTTGAAGCCACTAACCTTCACAATATTCTTTCCAATGCGAAGAGTGAGCACATGTGTTGCCGTGCCGTTAAGATGCTCAACACCATGAGATTCCACGCATCGCATCCAATTAAAGTACCACTTTCCAACAGATTAAGTGAGATGTTGGCTGCAAACTTATAGCATTACAACATTGAAAAACAAGCCTATTTACTTGTCAGAAGGTTTTCACATTGTTGAACGTTATTTTGGTTAGGAACCATCTAATACATGAATTCCATTGCAATTACTACATCGAAGAGGAATAGTATCTATCGAATTCTTTTATGTTATAATTGATACTCAATCACGTTAATTCAATGAGGTCGCTAAAGCTGAAGAACCGTTGCTGCCTCCCGCCTGAAGGGTCAGGGTTCGATCCCACCTGTGGCATGAATGTGTGTGTGTACGTATACCGTTACCGTTCCCCCAATGTTAGTTACTATAGGGTCGCTGTGTGACCTTAGTAGTTGAAAAGCGACCATAAATAAAAAACAAATAATAATACTTTGTGTTATTTGTAATCAATTATAGATAATAAAAATGAAACGAATTATCATATTGTTGACGAACGTTTTTAAACTCGCAGTAATTCCCAGATTTAGAGTTTCGTATTAAAAAAACACTAAAAATGTAATTCTCAACGTGTACCACTTGCCTTCACACGGTCCTGGTATTCAACTAACTAAAAATATATCATTGCCAACGTATGAACAAATTAATTAATTTTAATATAGGAATGTTTAGCGGATTATGGTTAATTATTATAAATATGAAAAATATGAAGATACTATCAATTGCGTGTGAAGGGTTAGTATGCAACCTCATTATTGTGTATATATTTTTTATTTTACTGTTCGTCTTTAATGACGTGCTTAGCCAGTTGAAAGTAATGGAGTATTGAATAGAGTACTGTGTAAAATAATTAACATTAATCCACGCTTTTATTTGAGCTAATCACATTGATATGTCTACATCCATAGGAATTCAAAGAACGAAGCATGCCCAACTATTTACTAGAAGCTAAAAGTAAATAATAATATGCTGCTTATAAAGAAATACCTTGCTTATAAAGAAACTGGCAATATATGGACTAAGGGAAAAAATGAAGCAATTTCGCAAGATAGTTCTTAGTCTGTTTATGATTACAACATTGTATCATTGATTATTATATCATAAAATATGATTAACAATTTTACATTCTATATTTATGTGTATGTTACCATTATCAAGTTATAAATCATTTTACTGTAGTTCTATTCTTTTTTATAAGTGCAATCTTTTCTCGATACTCTATAAATTATTATGATGTTGTAGGAGCCTTTGTGATCTAGATTTAATTTTGTTTATTTTTTTACTTATTTTCAACTTTTTAAAATTATAAACCTATTTGTCTATACTTTGTAGTTTAGTGTGAGAGAAGACATGTGTCTCCATGGGTAATACGATCTCTCATTTATTTTGCGTTATAATCTATGTGATAAGTAATAAATAAAAATTAAATGTATTCAAAGAAATGTCACCCCGACCGGGTATTGCCCAATACAATATATTTGTTTGGGAATGATATAAAAGTAAATAGGTATTAAATGGATGAAAATAAGGAATTATGTAGATAATGTGAACTCGAAATTATGAAATGGAAATACATATTGAATAGGTGCAGTGACAGAGAAAGGGTTAATTATTGTAAAAGAGTGAAATATTTCATAGGGAAGGGGTTGATGTAGTACGTAAAGGAAATGACGAGGAGAAAATATAGAAATAAGATAAAATTAGAGGATGGGAAATGTGGCAAGTTAACTAGTAATTTGGGAAGTAACTAATGTAGCATTAGTACAATGTAATAAAGAATAACTTTATGTAAACGTACGTGTCAAAATGGTTCAGAAGATTATGTGTACTGTTAAATATGTTTAATATTGTCAAATTCACATTCATATTCCTATTTTACTTCCATGTTGTATCACACTTTCTCTCTTAACACCACATCGGATGGTTTAACCATACATATAATCGTTTCAACCGGTATTTGAGTATCCTTTTGAGATGGGAACCCATTTTCACTCAAAGAAGGGCCGTTTATCACATCCACCCATTAAACAAGTGAATGAACTATCCCCCTAGCACACTTCCTATGAAAGAAGGAACACGAGGGCAGGACATATTTCGAACAGATGGCAGGAAGTTCGACTGATGCAGTGTTCACGCAGCCTCGACGAAGTCACTGGAGACGCGCCCTTTCCACATCCTGTGTGAGGCCTCAGAGGAGATGGCCCCTTCAGAGGAGATGGAGCGGGGAGAGCCACAACCAACAATGCCCTACCCCGTCACGCGGCAACGGATCACCCCTTGTTACAGAGTACGATAACCCACACGTCGACCTTTGGCGTTGCCGCAGTAATCACAATATTTTACTTAGGATACTAGGTATCTCTTTTCTATTACGAGACGTGAACATTTGAGAACATCCGTATGTAAGTAATTTCTCATAATAAATAGAAATTTTAAAATAATTTAAAAATATAATGGTAGAATAAGTGCCCTGTAATATCCTCTTTTGTAATTAATTACTTATCTATAGTGAATCATCATTATTTTAATAACATTACGGTCTTAATTTTTAAATAAAAGTAATAACTTTCTTGTATGTTTGTAGGAGTGTGAAACTAATGTTAGACGTTCACGTTAAAAACCTTTTGAAGGTTTATAATGATTGCTCAGCATTCTTCTGTTGAACTACGGGCTAGATCTGACTATTGCGTTTTTTGAAAGTTGTATAAGGTAAGTACGTACGAATTAAAAAATTAAGGAAGGGATTCAACACACTTACTCTTTGGAAAAAACTAAAACAATCCCAAGATGCTTTTGCTTCAATTTATACAGTAAGATATTCCCTCTAAAACAACGCTACAATACTTTTGTTGTGTTTTTTAGTTGTGCCTATCTTACAAGCATACTAGGTTAGAAATTTAAGAAAAAGTCGTGTTAATAGTAATGATAGTCTTTCATCAACAGGAGTACCAAACAATTAATTTGCATTACATCCCATGGTTCGCAATTTTGGACAATTATCGAATAATTGCAATCGCCTATTTAATTTATGTTGTAAATAACTCCTCTCATCGGTTAAAGTCAATTAATGTATAACAAATGAGACGTCGTTTGAAAAGTTATTTGTTGTGCTTTCCTTAATACATATTTACGTCAGTTTTTCGCTTATATAAAAAAATATATATTTCGGAAGTTCTCTAATGTGTTCGATTCTTTAGGTCTCGAGGCGTCCTAGGCCCTGAGAGCCTGATTGTCGAGCCGCGAGGCCCTGACACCCTGAGGCCGTGGGTGGCCTTGGCGTCGGCAGATCCCCCCGCGCCCTCTGGCGGGCGGGTGGCGCGGCCAATGGGCCGGAA